TTCTTTCTGTAAACCTCCTTCTACATGATGTAGCACACACCTTTGCAAAAAGTTCTCCACTGCTCCGACCAGTGTCCTGCTGATGCTCCTGCCTCCTTTGACCGCTTTTGGGATCTTTCTGACTGAAAAGTGGTTGCACGAAGGCACTACTGGAGGGCAGGAATACATGCTTTTGTCATGCCGCTACTGTCAAATAGTCTGCCTATTCCTGAAGGCAGCTCACAGTGGCAGAGTGCAGAACTGGAAGCGAGATCACGGAGTGACACTCAGTAGTAACTGGAAATGGAATCGCAGTGTCCTAAACACTGCAAAACGTACCCTTTGTCTCAATGACATGCCATCAATTCAGAGCTGGTTCTCTGCTGAAACCCCATTGATAACTCAAGCAAGATAGCCTTTCATTCTGCTTGACAGGCTTTATAACCGAAAAGCACATGATTTATAACACATAATTGTGTCCTGTGTTGTTTCGATTTTTGTTGATTTGTGCAATTTGATGTTAATAAATGAGGACCAGAGTACCAATGCTCACCATTGTCAAGCTGAGAGTTGATTTTTCTAATATAAGTAGTACAGTTTCTCTGTTCTTCCTCGGCAGAAATGATAAATGTACTCTCACACTAGCAAGACCTAGGACACTCAAAGCTGAAGCTGACGAGCAGTCACATCAATAGCAAAGGGAATCTGAATCCTGGCACGAATATTCTAAGACAGTGGACTGCAAATCAACAGCAAGACAACAAAATAAAGAGGTTTGAGGTCCATTTATAATAGCTGAAACTCACTCATACCTGGCACAATGTTACATTACCTTGGGATCTGGTTGTACCATTGTATTCTGTAGGAATGTGAACAACTGCTCTTAGGTTTTGCACGGTCATATCACAGCTCTTTGTTTAATGCCATTAAATGCTTCAAGGTTCATTACATGGGATGATTGTGTGCTTAAACTGTGTAAATAAAAAGGGTCATTGGCCTAAATCAGTGACCCTGGGCTGGGAGGTCACAAGGCATCGTGGCCTCCAATAGCCTTAAGCCTTCTGAAAAAGTCTGTGTACAGCCCACTCACCTACAACCCAGCTGCAGCCTGGCCACTTTATACTCAATGGTGGGGGGGATGGGGCTTAATGGCTCAAGGTGGGGCATCCCCTCCTGCTGCTCAGGCTACAGAGGGGGTCCTGGCCTTTGGCTACTGCTGGTCAGCCTATCTGGCCAGCGATTCTCAGATCAAGCGGTGGCTGCAGCTGGTACCACAGGCCATTCCTCCAAAGAAGTGGATGTCACAGAAGGTGGTAGTGAGCTGCCTTTTTGAACTGCTGCCATGTGCTATAAGTAGACCCAGAACGCCATTAAAGAGGGAATTCCAGGTTTTAGTCCCAGTGACAGTGAAGGGAACGGCGATATATTCCCACGTCAGGATGGTAAGTGGCTTGGAGGGGAACTTGCAAATGGTGGTGTTCCCATGTATCTGCTGCCCTCCTTGTCCTTCGAGATGGAAATGGTCTTGGGTTTGGAAGGTGCTGTGTAAGATGTTCCAGATGTTTCATGTCTGACCTCAAACAACCACAACAATCTTCCTTTGTGCCAGGTACAATTCCAACCAGTGGAGGGTGTTTTCCCCTGATGTCCATTGACTCCAGTTTAGCTGGGGCTACTTGATACCACATTTGGTCAAATGCGGCCTTGAGGTTAATAGCAGTTGATGCTGACGATCTATAAGACACTTGTTTAGGCCTCAGCCAGAATATCATGTGCAGTTGTGGGCATCACACAGTTGGAATGATGTGAACATGTTAGAGAGAGTGCAGAAAGTTTTGCAAGGATGGTTCAAGGAATGAAACACCTCAACTGTGAGGCTATGTTGGAGACAACAGGACTGTTCTCATTGTAAAGCAGAAGGCTCGAAAAGATCAGATTAGATTAGAAGTTTGCAAAACCTTGAGGGCTCTTTTCAGAGTGTATAAAGAGAAACTGCTCCTGATTGTTAAATAATCAAGAACGAAAGAGCACAGGTTTAAAGTGATTTGCAAAAGAAGCGAATGTGAAATGAGAAATAAGCTTTTTCAAACAATTGGCTCAGGTCTGGAATGCAGTGCCTGGAAATATTGTGAAGACAGGTTTAACTGAAGCATTCAAAAGGGCATTGGATGATTATTTGGATAGAAATGGTGTGCAGGGATATAGGGAAAAGGCAGGAAAACGTCACCTCCTTGCCCATGTTAATAAACCCCAGGATATGATATGATTTAGCACCTGTTCTCTCCACCTGTCCTACCATTTTTAGTGTTCTGTGACCAGGTACACCGAGGACCCTGTCCTCCAGCATACTCTTTAGAGTTGTAGCCCTTCATGTATTTATTATATATTTTATATTTTGCCTTAAGTCAATGATACAAACTTCATGTCTAATTGCAGTGGCAAGATGTACACTGTTTGAGTTTTGCTTTCTCTCGAGTACAATGATCATTCTTTTAAAAGTTACCAAACAACTTGTCCAACCTCAGGTAGGTTGGATTCCTTTCAAGCTAGTCTGAATGCCTCATGTCACCCTCAGTATTGTTCATGTCTCCGTCTCCATGGTGGGTTCCTTGGCTGAGTGCTTCAAGAAGGGTTGACATAATTTGGTAAACCTTGTTATCAAATCCCAGGCCATTAATCTCACAGTGGCCTGTTTGGAGTCATACTCAATAGCCTTAGCCTGCCTTGCTGCTCTTCTGCTTTACGACTTGTTCCCTATCTCTCTCCATTCTAACAGGAGGCCAGTTAGCTCAGTTGGCTGGTCAGCTGGTTTATGATGCATGCTAATGGCATTGGTGAGCTTACCACGAAGGACTATCCTTCCCAACCTCTCCCTTCGCCTGCGGCATGGTGACCCATAGGTTATACCGCCATCAGTCATTGCTTTCTAATGAGAGAGCAATCTTATGGTGTGGTAGGATTATGGTGACTTTACCTTTACAATTCCAAAACTATGAAATATGAATTAGCTTTTATTGTCACATGTACTCACTTGCATGACTACAGTGAAAAGTTTACAAGTGGCCACTTACAACGTAATCTTAGGTACAAATGTACCTAAGCACAGAATCTTGGTACAAAGCAGAAAAATAAATAAAACAAGTTAATAAGTTAAACATTACAGTCCTTCTTACTGAAGCATAGAAAAACAAAGAAACACAGATCACAGTTTAACATCACAGTCCGTAAGGGCCTGGCGATGCTGGGCTTGTATTCCTTAAGGGCTTGACCACGCTCTCACCACTGACTCAGACAGCCTGCTCCTGATTTGATTTGATTTATTATTGTCACATGTACTCAGATACAGTGAAAAATTTTGTTTTGCATGCTAACCAGATAAATCATATCTTACATAAATACATCAGGGTCACAGAACAGAATGCAGAGAATAGTGTCACGCTACAGAGAGATCAACTCTAATATATGAGAGGTCCGCTCATAAGCCTGGTAACAGCAGGGAAGAAGCTGTTCTTAAATCTGTTGGTGTGTGTTTTTAAACTTTCAGAACCGAAGTCGATGACCAGTTCCTTCATTTTGTTGACATTGAGGGAGAAATTGTTGACTGTACACAATGCCACTAAGCTGTCTATCTCCTTCTTGTACTCTGTCTTGTCATTGCTTCAGATCTAACCACTACGGTGATGTCATCAGCAAATTTGTAAATGGAATTAGAGCTGAATTTGGCCACACAGTCTGAGTGTATAAGGAATAGAGTAAGGGGCAGAGTACGCAGCCTTGCAGGGCATCTGTGTTGAGGATTGTTGTGGAGGAGATGTTGTTGCTTATTGTGATCTATGGGTCAGGAAGTCGAGGATCCAGTTGCAAAGGGTAGATCAGAGGCCTAGGTCTTGGAGTTTGGAGATGAGTCTTGTTAGAATTATGGCATTGATGGCAGACTAAAGTCAATAAATAGGGATCTGATGTAGGTGTCCTTGTTATCCAGATGTTCTAAGGATGAGTCTAGGGCCAGGGAGATGACATCTACCATGGAGCTATTGTGATGGTAGTGAATTGTAGTGGATCAGGGCACTCTGGGAGACTGGAGTTGATGTGAGCCAGTCTAAACTGTTCCGTTAGGTAATGGCCTCTCAGGATTTACCTTGTCAAGTATACTCGAAGATTTTATTCCTTTCACTTCTCACCCTCCATCTTCCGAATTTATTCTACTCAATGCAATTCAATACCATTTTCCTGAGCTGTTGCCTTGTTTGATACAAGCACCTAACTAGTGAATCTCATTTATTATTCAGCAATAATACCATGAAGATGTGTAACTCTAGGCTTTTATTGGTAGAGGTTGTATGATTTGATTTTCACAACTTGCTCTCAGTCAGTCAGTCATATGGGATCACCCCCTATTTTAAAAAGCAAGGAAGTTATCCTCAATATCCTGGACAATATTTATTCCTCAAACAACATCGCAGAAAAAAATGATTAATTAGTCAACCCATTGCTGTTTGTGGGGTCTTGCTGCGCGCAAATTCGTTCCTGTAATTCCTACATCACAAGACTTTGAAAGTACTTAACTGCCTGTAAAATAGTTTGGTATATTTTGAGGTTGTGAAAGATGCAAACATAAGGGCAAATACCTCATCTTTTTCAAATGAACAGCGCATTTGAGTGCTTTGTATTGAGTGGGAGAGGCTTAATGGTGATCACAAATTGCTACACGTTGGAAACGCACTGTTGTGGAAAACTAGAATGATGCAATAGGATGTTATTCTGAGGTTAGGGTAACGCATGAAGATGGACGATAGAGAGTTTAATTGCATCCTGGGAACTGTGAACATTACTCATGTTTATATCAGGCTCTTTGTTAGCATGGACATACTGAGTAGGAAATAGATTTACTCCTGGTTCTGTGGAGAAGTTTAAAACATTGCTACTTAGCAAAGTTCTATTCTGATTGGATGTTTTTTTTAAATAGATATTTAACATTTTTGTTCTCTTTAAATCTACATAACGTCCTTACTTCAACTTACCAACATCAGACATTTCAGGAACAGTGGCCATATACAATTCCTTTGAAAACTTTGGTTCGTTGTCATTAATATCATGGATCTTGATAATAAATTCAGATTCTGGTTCCACAGGCCTCCCAGTCCGTCTTTCAATAGCTTGGGCACGCAATGTGTAAAAAGATTTCTCCTCGCGGTCCATTTTCTTTAGAGCGTGAATATCCCCAGTGTTCTCATCAATGGTGAATACTGTTCCAGCTCCATCACCTGACAAAATGTATTTAAGAGTGCCATCTCCTTTATCAACATCAGAGTGAAGCTAGAAATGTCAAAAAGAGAGAACAGGAGTTATGTACATACGAAAAAGATGTTTATTTTACTGGTGGGTAAGTACTTGACAGCTGATCCACTCCTATAGTAAAAAGCTTCTTACAAAATATCAGCAGGTCACAAATACTGTACATCATTCTGTTCTGATGAAGGATCATCTCTACCCAAAATGTTTCTCTCCACAGCTGCTGCCAGATCTGCTCAGTATTTCCAGCATATATTTGATTTTATATACTGTGAAATTCTTGTTACAAATTATGACAGTCCCAAACAGCCCATTTGGCACCAAGGGTTCGTACCAGTTGTTAAACTCCCTACAAACCTCTTCTCACCTCTGTCAATCTATATCTATCAGAATATTCCTGCACTTAGCTCTCCCTCATGTGCCTGTCCAGCTTGCCCCAACATTCATTTCTGCTGTCGAAAACATTTCAGTCTGCTTACTGGATGTCCAACTGAAAGAACATTTCAGATTTAAACCCTGACAGCATCTATACAATTTTCAAAGCAAACTTTCATTGAATTAAACACTACTTACTTGAGGATGTACATAAGTATATTGGAAGCCGTTCAGAGGAGGGTCACTAGATTGATTCCAGAGATGAGGGGTTTGTCTTATGAAGAAAGATTGAGCAGTTTAGGCCGATACTCTCTGGAGTTTAGAAGAGTGAGAGAGATCTAACTGAGGTAAATATGATGCTAAATGGGATTGAAAAAGTAGATGTAGATTATGGGGACTGGGCAGGAAAATGGATTTAAGGTCAAGACAAGATCAGCCATTAAATGGTGGAACAGGCTCGAGGGGTTGAATTGCCTATTCTTAGAATCATAGAATCCCTACAGCGTGGAAGCAGGTCATTCGCCTATCAAGTCCACACCGACTCTCTGAAGAACATCTAACTCAGACTCCCTGTTAACTCTGCATTTCCCATGCCTAATCCACCTAGCCTGCACACCTTTGGACTGTGAGAGGAAACTAGAGCACCCGGAGGAAACCCACGCAGACACGGGGAGAATGTGCAAACTCCACACAGACAGTCACCCAATGGTGGAATTGAATCCTGGTCCCTGATGCTGTGAGGCAGTAGTGCTAACCAATAAGCCATTGTACTACCCCATGTTCTTATGTTCTTATTATCATAGGTCATTCAGCCATTTGTGATTATGTTAGCTCTTTGGAAAGATGTGTCCAATTAGTCCCACTCCCCCTTTCTCCTGTGGATCTGCGCAACTTTCCTTCTCAGGTATTTATCCAGTCCCCTTCAGAATATTATTATTGATCTTGCTTCCAGTACTGTTTCAGACAGCATATTCCAGATCACGACACTAGCTTCATTTGGGAAACACTTCACCACATCTGTAGTTTTTGAAATGTTAATTCTGTTTTCTCTTCACAGACTGCCAGACCTGTTGAGTTTCTCCTGCAATTTCTGCTTTTGTTTGTAGTTTTTATTCAATTCCCACACTGTCTGACATTACCACAAAACATTCCCTTTCTCAATCTTTCCCCTTGCCTGAGCCTTAGTGACCTTCAGGTTAAACTAACACTAGTTATCTCTCTCTAATGAGAGAGCAGCCCTACAGTCTGGTAAGGCTATGGCAACTTCAATATGCGGGTGGACTCAGAAAATTAGGTTGGTATCCGATCTCAAGAAAAGGAATGTGTGGAATGTCAACGAGATGGTTTTTGGAGCAGCTTGTGGTAGATCCCACTAGGGAACAGGCAATTCTTGATTGGGTGATGTGTGATAAGACAAACTTGATTAGACAGCTTAAGATGAAGGAACCCCAAGGGGGCAGTGATCATAATATGATAGAATTCACCTTCCAGTTTGAGAAGGAGAAGCTGGAGTCAGATGTAATGGTATTCCAATTGAATGAAGGTGGCTACAAAGACATAAGGGAGGAGCTGGTCAGAATTGATTGGAAGGGGACCCTAACAGGGAAGACAGTGGAGCAGAAATGGCAGGAGTTTCTGGGGGTAATTTGGGAGGTATAGCAGAAATTCATCCCAAGGAGGAAGAAACATATTAAGGGGAGGAAAAGGCAACCATGGATGACAAGGGAAGTCAGGGACAGCATAAAAGCAATAGCCAAAGCATTCAATGTGGTGAAGATTAGTGGGAAGCCAGAGAACTGGCAAATCTTTAAAAGCTAGCAGAGGACAACTAAGGTTCTTGAGTAATTTGTAGCTCGGGTAGTGGATGCTGTGGGTGGTTTGTTCATCAAGCCGGTTCATTGGTTTATAGACGTTTCATTACTCTGCTGGGTGCACTAATGATGTTACCCAGCAGGGTAATGAAACGTCTGCAAATTAATGAACCAGCTCGGTGAGCCAACCAACCACAGCAGAGGACAACTTAAAAACAATAAGGAGGCAAAGATAAAATGTGAGAGTAAACTAGCTAGTAATGTAAGAGAAGATTACAAAAGGATTTTTTTTAGTTATATAGAGGACAGGAGTAGACTTTAGACACTTGGAAAATAAGGCTGGAGAAAAGCATGAGGGGCATGAATAGGGTGAATAGGCAAAGCTTTTTCTGAGGGTGGTGGAGTCCAAAACTAGGGGGCATAGGTTTAATGTGAGAGGGGAATGATTTACAGGACCTGAGGGATAATATTTTCATGCAGAGGGTGGTGCATGTATGGAATGAGCTGCCAGAGGAAGTAGTGAAGCCTGGTACAATTACAACATTTAAAAGGCATCTGGATAGGTATGTGAATAGGAAGGGTTTAGAGTGATATGGGCCAAATGCCGGCAAATGGGAATGAGTCAGATTGGGATGTCTGGTTGGCATGGACGAGTTGGACCGAAGGGTCTGTTTCCATGCTGTGTAACTCTGTGACTCTGCAAATGGCGGAGGAACTGAACAGGTAGTTTGCATAAGCCCTCACATGGAAGACACCAGCAGCATACCAGCACTTCAAGAGAGTCAGGGGCAGAACTGTGTAAAGTAGCCATCACTAAAGAGAAGATGCTGGGGAGCTGAAAGGTCTGAAGGTGGATATATCACCTGGAACAGAGGGACTACATCCCAGGGTTCTGAAAGAGAAAGCTGAGGAGACTGTGGAGGCATTGGTGGGGATCTTTCAGGAATCACTGGAGTCAAGGAGGGCCCCAGAGGAATAGAAAATGGTGAATGTATTGCTCTGTTTAAAAAGGGAGAGTGGCAAAAGGCAGGAAATTATAGGCCAGTTAGCCTGACCTCAGTCTTTGGTAAGAATTTAAGAGTCCAGTATTGAGGATGAGATTGTGGAGTACTTGGAAATGCATCTAAAATAGGACTGAGTCAGCATAGCTTCATCAAGGGGAGGTCATATCTGACAAAATCTGTTTGAATTCTTTGAGGAGGTAAAGAACAAGTTAGATAAAGGAGAGCCCACGGAAATACTCTATTTAGATTTCCAAAAGCCCTTTGACAAGGTGCTGCATAGGATGCTGCTAAATAAGGTAAGAGCCCCTGGCATTAGGGGCAAGGTACTGGCAATGGGTACAGGATTGGCTAACTGGCAGAAGGCAGAGAGTGGAGATAAAGGGTTTTTTTCAGGACGGTAGCCGGTGACTAGTGGAGTTCCACAGGGGTCTGTGTTGGGAACACAACTATTTACATCACACATTAACAATTTGTTCGAATAAACTAAGGGCATTGTTGCTAAGTTTGCAGATGACATAAAGATAGGTAGAAGGGCATGCAGTGTTGAGGAAGCAGGGAAGCTGCAGAAAGCCTTAGACAGGTTGGGAGAGTGGGCAAAGAAGTGGCAGGCAGAATACAACGTGGGAAAGTTGAGGTTATGTACTTTGGTAGGAAGAAGAGACGCGTAGGCTATCCTCTAAACACAGAAAGGCTTTGAAAATCTGAAGCACAAAGGGACTTGGAAGTCTTGGTTCAGGATTCTCTTAAGGTTAACATGCAGGTTCAGTTGGCAGTGAGGAAGGCAAATGCAATGTTAACATTCATTTCAAGATAGCTAGAATATAAGAGCAGAGATGTACTGGTGAGGCTGTATAAGGCTCTGGTCAGACCATATTTGGCATATTGTGAGCAGTTTTGGGCCCCGTATCTGAGGAAGGGTGTGCTGGCAATGGAGTGTTCTAGAGGAGGTTCACAAGAATGACCCCAGGGATAAAGTGTTTGTCTTTTGAGGAGCGATTGAGGACTCAGGGTCTGTACACGATCGAGTTTAGAAAGATGGGGACGGTGGGGATTCTCATGAAAACTTACAGAATACTCAGGGGCCTGGATAGGGTGGACGAGTGGATAGAGTAGGAGAGACTAGGACCCGAAGGCACAGACTCAGAGTGAGGGGATGGCCCTTTCGAACTGAGATGAGGAGGAATTTCTTCAGCCAGAAGGTGGTGACTTTGTGGAACTCATTGCTGCAGAGGGCTATTGAGGCCGAATCAATAAGGGCATTTAGGACAAAGATAAATTGGTTCTTGATTGGTAAGCCGATCAAGGGTCACAGGGAGAAGGCCGGAGAATGATGTTGAAAAACATATTAGACATGATCAAATGGCAGAGCAGACTCAGTGGGTCGAATGGCTTAATTCTGCTGCTGTATCCAATGGGCTTTACCCTTATATATTTCGTTCATTAAGTTAAGAAGATACTAATCAGATATTCAATGCAGAGGGAAAAAAGGCTCTCTGCTTGAAAGTGGTCAAATAGTAAACTTGACCAGGGTGGCTCAGTGGTTAGCAACACCAGAGTTGCATTCATCAAAGCAGGAAATCACATTGCAAAACATTATTCACTTGGGGCATCCCATATTAGCATCAAAATAACTTCAGCACCTAATTACACGGAAACTAATGTTCTACACAACCTTTTGTCAACAGTGCAGTTAAGCTTCAACTGGAGGATTCTCTTCTGCACTGGTCTCCAGTGTTTCACATTAACCACATGAAACATCTTGGGCTTTTGTTGAACTAGGGAAAGCCTTGACAAGCAGACTTGCATTCAGCACTGGAAACAAAAACAGCGAGTG